GTTCTTCATTATGATAAATAACATTGTGATGAGCAGTCCTACATATAACGATGTATGTTTTATGTCATCTCTATTTCCTTAAAACAAACTTCTACAAAAATACTGGCCATGTTTAAAAATATGATCCATACTGCCAAATTGCTTTCTAGAAAGATGAAACTGATCTATGCTCTCATTCACTCACCCCCGGCATTCGATATTATCAAAGTTGTTCATCTCATCTTTGCCAATTCCATGAAGGAAAAGTGGGATCCTATTACTTTAATTTACACTGATTTGATTCTTAATGAACAATAACATTTTTCATGTGTTCATTGGTCATTTACACATGAATAGACTTTAGTGCGCAGAGCTGTTTTTGCTGATGGCTCGGGGAAAGCAAAGTGGAGCGCTGTGCAGAAGATCAATTTCTTTTTCTGCCTGAATTGTCTCATGAAAGTCAAAGTTACGTTTTCATGGAATTCTCCTGGTTTCTCTTGTACTCAGAGAGCAGAACAACTCTCCAAAACACTGAAAAAAATTGCAACCAGCAAGATATTTACGAACTTCAAGCTTTTCTACATGGATTTTGCCTACCATGAAAGTAAGTTACTTGTTTTGGTACTGACAGTGGATAAACACAGCAGCTGCAGGGAGGAAGGAGCCAATTGTGTGGGGTCACCCCAGGCTACCTGACCGGAATAGCTCTTGGCATTGAAAAAAGATAAAGGGTGAGATGCTTTCTGAGCAGGATGGGGCTCGGCATCAGGTTAGTCTCTGAAGCAATAGAGCCAGCCACCAGTTGGAGAGTGCTTTGAGCTAGAAGCCTTCAGGCTAATGGAATCACCTAACCTATTCTTGCCAGGTCAGCAATGCCCTGCTTATATGCATGCTAAAGGTGGTTGTGACAGAAATAAAAGGTGAGGCACTGCCTTTCATAGGAGAGGATTGGATTACTAGAATGAACTTGAACATGAACCTGTAACCAATCAGAAACTCTTAGGAAGGGTCAAAACCAGCAGCAACAACAACAACAACAACAACAAAAAAACACTATGTCCCTGATTTCTGGAACAAATACTGTTTCTTTTCTAGCATTCTGTTCAAACACTGTAGTCACTGACAAGTGGCCACACAAACTCAGGCATGATTGCTGGAGCCACTGATTTAGCCTTTACATCTTGACTCTGGAAAAAAATTATTTATTGTTTATAATCCTTCCACATTTTCATTGTTAAGCAATCTTTCTACAAGAGAAAAGCCCCTGCTGATTGACTGCCAGCTGAGATGATGCTAATGAAAGCTTAGGGTATGCAATGGATGAAAGATTTTTCATCCAGAGTTTAGCATTTCCATCCCTCACCCGGAGGCCCCAGCCCAAGCATCTGGAATGGAACAGATGGCCATCATGAATTATCAGACATTACATTAGCTGACACATTGTACACTGCAGACTCTGGTGCTGCAGTTCTGAACATCTTTTCAACAAGACTGACCTCCCTTTACTAGATTTCCTGCCTACATGATACAGATCTCTCTCATGGGGAGAGACATTTTGATAAATAACCTCTCATTAAAATGCAGAGTTAAAGACTCATTAATGAATTCTTGGTGTAAACAAATGCACTACCAAGTGATCTCTGATCATCACCAACCTTTAATGTAAAGTTATTAAAAATATAATAATGTCTAGCATTCACGGGGGCAATTTTTCACTTTCCACAGTTATCTTTCTATACAGTTATTTATTATCTCTGGTGCTATAGATAATTCTCTGAGCATTTCTAACCTCCCTGTTTCCAGACCTCAAAGTGGGGATTCTTTGTAAATGTTTTTATTAGCACACATTAATTACACATAATAATGGGCTTTGTTATGACATTTCCATATACATGCAGAAACTATTTGAATCATTGTCACCTCCTGTTACCCTCTCTTGTCCTCCTCCTATTCCCTTTAGTCCTCTTCTTCTTCCCAACTAGCCCCCACCGCTTTCATTTCTTTTCTTCATGGGTAGCCTAATAAGCTTCCTTGGGTTGTTTACAGGGGCACGTGCACCTTACCAGTGGCTACACTACTGAAAAAAAATGTATTTGCCTCCTCCATTGACCATTATCAAAATATACATACTCAGGGAAGGGTAGGGCCCTCTGAGTCCCTCCCCTCTTCCATGACAAGATGTTGACAGGCTCAATCTTGTGGAGATCTTGCACAGGTAATCACAGCTGCTATGAGTGAAAGAGTGTAACAGCAGCTGGAAGTGAATTCCCCCTCACCACTTCCTCCAACTCTTAGTCTTTGTGCCCCTTATTCTACAATGTTCCCCAAGTCCTGGAGGGGATGTTATAGATGTCTCATTTCTGGTTGGGCTTTCAACAGTCATTCTCTATGATTTGACCAATGACAAGTCTCTGTGGTCACCACTGATTATTGTATAAAGAAGCCTCTCTAGCCAATTCTGACAGAACACTAATCTATGGACACAATCATGGGTATTTACAAGGCAGTTTGACAAACACATCACATCCACTTAGCAGAACAACAGCAGTAGCTTCCCCAGTATGGCCTATGACCTTCCCAGCCACAGGCTTCTGACCAGGTTTACATTACCAGATGTGAATTCCCTCCTGTGGAGTAAGCATCAAATCCAATCAGAAGGTATTGGTTACCCCCCATAACAGATTTGCCACTGTTGCACCTGTGGGCACGTCCCACCTGGCTGGTCAGTATTGTTGCATACAGGGACGACAGCTGAGTAAGGACTGTTGATGACAGTTCTCCCCCAGCAGCCTACATAGCACCTTCCAGAACTATAAAAGCTAACCAGAAGGGAGGAAGCTTCCAGTCCAGTTTCAGCTTCATTTTTCTGAAAGTGAGGCTCCATATCTACCTAACAAATCTTAATGATGATTATGTGAAATAATGTGTTAGTTGATTGTAAATGCCAAGAAACAATATATTTCCTTATATGCATGCTATGGTTTTAGATGAGCAGTACACTCTTACACCATGGGAGCAGGGTCTCATACATGCTAGGCAAGTGCTCTACCATGAGCAACATCCCCAACCCTGGGAGCAGGTTATGAAATCAGAGCCTCCAGCCACACTCCAGATATACTCAATCAGTTCGTCTCTATGCTCACTAAAGTTCACACATGTAGCTCTCTAAATGTTCCAAGATTAAGTTGGTCACTTAGTCATCAGATTTTTTTACTAAGTCCATTATGTCCCAATAGCTACATAGGGGCTTGGTTAGACTAATTGCTAACCAAGGCCAGGCATGGTGGCACATGCCTTTGATCCCCACCTCTCAGGAGGCAGGGATAGGGGAGGTGAATCTCTGTGAGTATGAGGCCAGCCAGGGCTACATAGTGAGACACTGACTCAAAAAAAAAATTGTTTTTAATTGCTAACTAAATAGAATCATCTCCATAGAGGGTAGAGAGGGCTTTATCCTTGGCCCAATACATTCTACTGGTAGACCAGCTTGCTTCCAGGCAGAGCCTCATTGTTTTTTTTCCTGTCCTCACAACAATAATAATACAGCACAAAAGCAAAAAGTTCAGTGAAACAGAATCTTTTACAGCGCAGTGACAGCCATCGTGGTGTTACTTCCCCTTCTTTGACAGTTCCAGGTAGCAAAGCAAGGAGCTTCCTGTTTCGTCATTTCTTCACAATTAAAAACACAGTAAGTGTGAAGATCCAGTGTTGCCTCCTTCATCTTCTCCATATAAATTAGTGGGTACCCTACAAGGGAAGACACATGGACACTGTAAGCGACAGTGGAAATAGGAGGATGATATCCTAGGACCTGACCACAAGAACATCTGCTACCACAGCCTACATTTATCAGCTGGGTACTTCCATATGTACTTCTGAAAGGTCAAAACTTTTAATCTCATTTTAGGACTATGATAATGTCTTGAATTATGGCCAAGGTAAGAAATTTTCAACTTGAAATCCTAGCATTTACCAGAATAGGCAGAAGGATCATCCACCTGGATCCCACTCTGGGTGTAGCCTCCCATGCCTTGGGGCAGCTAATTAGCCTAGATATTTATCTCAAGTGCATGGTGAAAGGGCCCAGAATTTAGAACTGTTGTTGTTGTTGTTGTTGTTGTTGTTGTTGTTGTTGTTGTTTAATCTCAGGTCAAACACAGATCAAAGGATTGAGACAAAGCTTGTAAAACAGGAAGGACTCGAAAACTTGTTAGCTGGCATCATCCAGTGACTCCCATCGTCAATGTATAGAAAGTAGCTTTTACAGTCTTCCATATAACAAGTATTCCCTCCCAATGCCCAGCCACCTCCCGTCACGACTTATATCTGAGGAAAGGTTTCCCCAGTTTCCCTGAAGGAAGACCTGGTATAAATGTAGCTCACTATCACTGAGGTCTCCTTTCATCAGATATAAAAACCCAATAGAGTCATTTATTAAATTTGCAATCTGAATAATCCCATGGAAATCACTCTTATTTCACTACTATATTAGAGCTGACTATTGAGCCACAAATGTCCTCATTTTTCATGACCCTGAAATTCACAATGTCACATCCTTGTGACAGAGCAAATTGCAGTTGTGCATCCCCATCTCTTGAGAGTAGGCACAAGACCTATTTGTTCTCCATTCTGACAACCTCAGTCCAGTGCTGAAAGATGATTGCTCATCTCCAGGCTCCTTTTTGTCTTTTGCTGACTCATTATCCAATCGGTTATGAACTAAGCAGCGGCAGCGATTTTTCCTCCCCTGGAGAAATGTCACCTTGAGCAGGTGATGTCCTTTTTCCTTGTCTCTATCACACCTTCCTAGTAGAGGAAAGAAAATGCCACTTGACTGATAAGGTCATTTTTATACTGACAGTTTAAATATACCTCCAGCTGCCCTTGGCTTCAAAGACAACTCAATTGTGGTAAACTTGGTTCTTAGTTTCCTCTAATGTATGTTTGATAAAACAGCCATGCCCCCATGGTGCTAATCAGAATGCAGGTTTCTCTTTAAAATATCCGCTAGTTTTGCTACTTGTCAAAGAAGCAGCTACCACATGTCTTAATAAATCTTCTCTACTGTTTCTGCTGTTTCTTTGAAGAGCTGGTCATGAGCAGAATTTCTCTGACTTTGCAGTCAAAGAAAATATATTACACACAAAATCCCAACAGATGTTCCACTGTCATCCAAGAAACTTAATTCAGTTTTTCCAAAAAAACAAATAAGAACTGAGGAGATGGCTCAGTCAGGAAAGTGCCTGCCACATAAGCCTGAAGACCTGAGCTCACATCCCCAGCATCCTCACAGAAGCTGAGTGCAGTGGACCTGTCTGTAATCCCACCACTGGAGCAGATTCCTGAAGCTCTTTGGCCGGCCAGACAGCCAAATTGATGAGCTCCAGGTTCAGTGAGAACCCTGTCTCAAAAATAAGGTGAAGAGCCATTGAGAAAAACACTCAGCACCTACCCTTGGACTCTACAGACACACATACATTGCATTCCTGGGTGCCTATACACTTGTGTACATACACATAACATACGTATCCCCATATGTACACACACACAAGAACAAAAAGGACCAATTTCCCATTTTATCCTTCATTGGCCTGCCCATTCTAAAATCAACTGGGGAAGAATCAAAGGTTGTGATCTGCTACTGCACTTCTCCCGAGAAAGTAGAAGCTCATCCTGAAAATTTTTACAAAACAGTTATTCTGTCTAGTAATAGTCAAGGTACAAATAAAGCCTTGTAATCTTGCCTGTGCATTACTATCACCACTTTAAAATTTGAAATCCTATTTTCTAATCCTGTGTGGCACCTTTGAAGATACAATAATCATGTGAAAAAAATTATATTTCCCCTGTGAATGGACTGATTGGAACCTTGGTAACCTTTGGCATTTTAATATAAATTGTTATTCCATATGGCAAGTTATGTATTCTGAAAGGTGGACTCTGTCATAGTAGCCTACTAACAGAGTTGGGACAGAGTTTGGGAGATGGAATAAGTTTCCTAGCCAGGAGGACTATATTATTTTTCATATCCATTACAATGCCATGGTGATGATAAGAGGTCTCTGGCTGGATAAGAGCTCAGAGACAGCACTTGGTGAGCATGCATGGTGCCCTAGATTCTAGCCGCCACCCCTCCAGCACCGCCCTCTACCCTAGACTATGCCCCTGCTCCATGGCAAAACTTAGCAAACAACAATCCCTCTTTGTTTTGTTTTGTTCCTGTTTTCCTCTCATAATTTCCACAGTTATGGAGTTATGGAATTTATTACTATGATTTGGAAAATGGTCACTGATTTTGATAACCGAATTGTGCCTTACTGACTTATGAAGATGTCTCTCAACACCATTCTTCTGAGGCTACAGTTTTCGTTTGGTAGTTAATAACTCATATAAAATCAAAATGGAAATATTTTAGAATGACTTTAAACCTTGGTGCTAAAATTGAATAACACTAGAGGAAACTCATCTATAAGCAATTCTGGCCTCTTTAATATGGGGATCCTAGTAATAACTCCCTCAAGGAACTCTATCTTAGCATAAACCATTTCTTTAAAAGGCTCACATTTGCTTTCCACTGTGAAATTTCCTAACCTCCTAATCATTGCGATTGTCTTACAGATTTTCTTTTGGCCACTGAAGGCACAAGACTCTTTTTTACTTTAAGCATATGTTATTTCTTATGCATAAACTCTTCATTAATAATACCATTATTAAAAGGGAAATATGAATGGCATACATCCAGCTGTTGACATTATTTTCACAGTCACTTTACAAACTGTGAACTAAAATTAGTTTCATTAGTTTTAGTTACACCATTAACATTTCATTCTTTTGTAAAATGTTTACATTATATATTGATATAATATCTATGGTAATCAATATTAATCATAGTAATGGGTAAAGGTTTGAGTTTTAACTGAGCCTGTCATTCAATCCTCTTTGCAAATATACTCAAAAGTCCTTGAGACTTCTTACCTACCACATCAAAAAGCCCTGGATATCTGGGTCAAGTCCTTAGTTCACTATACATCTACTTAATACAAGAGGCCTCTGCTTTGTGACTTTCCTCATCAACATCTTTGCAACTTTTAGGCAGGCTCTGTCTGAGGTCTTAACTGAGCCTAATTGCGAGCCCAGTCTTGTTAGCACTACCTAAGAATTTCCGAGCATCTACCTAGTCACCTTGGGCTGCTATAATAAAATGTCATAACCCAAGTGGCTATAAACAACAGAGATTTATTTCCCCAGTTCTAGATGATAAAATCTAAGATCATGGTTGGGTTCTGCTACAGGCCCTCTGCTAGGCTCCGGCTGTCAACTTCTCCTTCTCACATGGCAAAAGCGCTCTGGGGTCCCTTCTATTGCAGCACTAATTCCATTCATGAATGCTCTATTGTCAGGGCCTGACTTCATCCCAAAGGCTCCATCTCTTATCACCCTCAATTACATCAGCCTTAGGCTCTCAACGTATGACTCTGAGAGGAATGCCAAAATTCAGTCAATCCAACCCATGGAGATATTGGGACTTTCTTTCATTCTTTCTTCCGTAAACACCTATACAGAACTTAAATAACAGAAGATGCAGGGGCATGGGTAGGTGAAGTGAAAGGTGTACAAGAAATTGGAAGTAATGTCATGTCTAGAGTCTTGGGAACTAGAATACTGAAATCCATGGTAGGTGGGGCCTCTTCTCCCCCCGCCCCCCATTCTTGTTGAATTTTGTGTTGGAAGCCTCTGTGTGAATGCAAGGAGAGAGGAGGTAGATACCACAGAAGTATGAAGAACACCAAGGGAGAGTCCCTTAAGGTGACCCTAGCTCTGCATTTGCAGAAACTCTTCTAAATGCCTACCTCTTCATTGACAGTAGCTGTTGGATGCTTATACTGGAGATGGTTCTGATAGACAATCAACATAAACCTAGAAAATAGAAAAGTGGGTCCCAGCAAGGAAGAGAAAACTGGTCCATTCTCTACTGAACGAAAGGAAAATGAAGAACTTGAAATGAGTGGAGCCATGGTACAGCTGGTGAGCAGGCAAAGTGGGGCATGGAGTTCAGAAGCATCCAAGAGCAGGCAGAGGCAGAGCTAATTGCTAAATTGAGCCCTCAGCTTCCTAAGGCTGAGTGTGGCTTCTGCACCAGTGCAGCTCCAAGCTTTCCATCGAAAGAGCAGATCCATACCATTCCTCTTCCTCAGAGAGAAGAACCTTCCTTTATCAGCGTGAAGCAGCTTAAAACTCCACACAGGGGGCACAGGGGGCAACTCTAAGTGTTACAAGAAAAGCAAAGGCCACTTACCAATAGCAGCTTCTTCTGACAACTACCAATAAAACCCAGAAGCACACTTTAAAAGAGCTTGAGAAGCATGCACGTGGTGCACACCTTTAATCCCAGCACTTGGGAAGTGGAGGCAGGAGGATCAGGAGTTCAAGGATACCTAGTCAGTTCCAGGCCAGCCTGAATCACATTAAGACCCTGACTCAAAAATAAACAAAAAAAGAAAAAGAGCCTCCCAGTGGTAGTCCTGGTGCAGGGAAATACGCTAAGGGGACCACCAGTATGACTGTTTTTCTGAACTCTGACAAGGGGACAGGGATTGGGCAGTAAGTGCAGATGATGTGCTACAGTCCTTGCACAAGCAGCAGGCAACTGATTCAGTCCTGTTTCCCATGCCCAGTGACTGTACCAGACAGTCTCCATCCCTTCCTGGGGTAAAGGAGAGCTCAGTCCTCTGCCCTTGAACTTTTGGAGTGTTGATCAAAAGAGCTATGGGAATCTTAGCTGTGCTACTGCCTTCACTGAAAACCAGGAAAGTGAAGGTCAAAGTTCTGCCAGGAGCAGACATCTCAGATGGTTCTCCTTGGAGACTCTCTAGGAACTGGAATTTCCTTAAGAAATGTCTTCCTGGCTTTGTGATATTACAATATAGAGTTAATTGCACCGTCGCCTTGGAGCTGCTGACATGCCTGGTCTCTTACCCCCGTTGAAGGACAGTTTTATTGCTTTTCATCACTTTGGGGCTCATAATCTTTTCTCTGTAGCCATCCTTTCTCTAAATGCAATGTTGAGATAATTTTATGTAATTATATTTCTGACATGCTGTGTGATTGTTCAAGGTGATTGCTTGACACATATAGGCAGTGTCTGCAAATGGCAGCATGTGAAATGAGACGTTAGCAAAATGTCACATTTTCCCTTCCTCAGAGCTGCCTGAAACCTGAAAAAATCAGATGGACTTAAATTGGTGTGGCATATTTTAGAGCCCGCTTTCCCCTGCTCTCCCAGCCACACAAGCTGCGTTCAGTCAACACTTTCACACACTCTCTTCCTGGATTAGAAGAAAGAAAATCACACAATGGGAAGATCATTTCTGCATAGAAAGCTCCCAGCCAAGGCAACAGCTCAGAGACAGCCATGACTGGTTAAAAACAGGGCCTGGGAGGGCAGGGGCGCCCCCAATGACATCACGTGGTTCTTGCCCTTGGCATTGGCCATCGCTCAATGAAACTGGCCTATAATCCCCTGACTGTATGTTCTTCAGTCATAGAGGAGTGGCAGAGGAGAGGTGGCCAGCCCTGGCAGCTCATCGAACCAGTAGACGGATTCCACCCCAACGAGGTAAGCGTTGTCAGATACTGGTCACTGAAGGCTATCTGCTTGGTTTTCTAAAATCCATTTATGCATTATTGTGTTTATTTAATCCTGTTTTGCTCCAGGAAAGATTTGAGGCACATATGCATAAGATAGAAAATTCAATTAAAATAATGTGAAAATGAAAGATAAAGTAAAATAAGGTAGAAACTGTACCTAGACCTCTGACTTGGTTTCTACCATTCATAGAATATTGCAGAGCAGTTCTGAGGAACCACCTGTGGAGGCCTACAACATTAGCTCAGAGCGCTCGATGAGAAAGAGCCACCAGTCATGGCCTCCATAAGACAAAAAATAAGTCAAGTACCTAGAAAATAATAATAATAGCAAGAATTCCTGAAAGTGAGGCTTGCAAGAAATGTTTTGTATGAATCTTTCTTGAAAGGCCAATACTCTTAATAGCATTTTCCAGTAAGAGCTGTTCCCCCTCTCCCACTCCAAGTGCAGCTCTATGAAGTGCTCTGATCTGGCCTCTTCACAACACAGGGGAACTGAGGACTGGGACTCAGTCCTTCCTGTCCCCGCTCCCCTCCCATTATCCTGCCTGCAGCCATAGAAACTCTGCTTTCATCTGTTCATGTACTTGAATTGTTCATGACATTTCTATTTCCACAAGAGAAGGAAGCATGAGTGGAGTACTTGTGCCATTTGAAAACCTGACAGCTGGTTTTCCACAGGGTGGGAAGGTCATTTGCTCCAGGAAGTCCTCCATTACCACAGTCATTCTGATCCAGCTTTGGTCAGCTTGGTGTGGCTACAACAAGGCTGCAAACCTGAGCAACACTCTTGAAGGTGCACTCAGCTATGGACAGGCAGGCTGGGCTGTACCCTTGAGAACCTGAATGTATACTCAGCTCACCTTCCTGAGCCCAGCCCTGGGCTCAAGAACTGCCCACAGACAAATTAATTACCTCAAACCAGCTTTCCATCCCCTCTTCACAATGATCCCTGAGCCTTGGGAGGCAGAAGTTTGCTAAAGGTGTCCTATTAAGAGATAAGTGCTCTGCACTTATCTGGTGAGAGTTGTGAGATGACTCCATTAGGAGTCAGTTTAATATTATAACTATTAGTAGAAGACTAGTATTAGGCTATCCCCTATGCCCTGTGACCTGTCTAGCCTCAGGTTCCTAGCCCTGATATCAATGTCAAATTTGGGCTCCATCCTATGAAGTGGATCTTAAATCCAATTAGAGAGTGGTTGGTTACTCCCATATTTGTGCCACTACTGCACCAGTGAGCCTATCTTGCCAGGCCAATTATTGTTGTGGTTCATAAGATTCACAGCTGGGGAAGGTTGATGACTGTTTTTTCCTTCCAGTAGCATGTATAGAACCTTTCAGGACTATGAAAGCTACCCAGTAGAAATGAGGCTCTGAAGTCAGCACCAGCTTGATTCCTCCTTATTTGTTCTACAGCTCATGTATGTGGTGTCTTCAGCAATGGGGTCTTACCATCAAGTTCTGGTGGGTAACAAAGAGCAGGAGCAATGGTCAGTATTTTTTGAGGGTCTATGGGACCCCTGGTCAACACCTTCAAGAGAAGGAGTCTATTCCTGTCATTGGGGTTTTATTTTGTTTGTCTATGATGTCTAGTAGGAGCAATGTGCCCCTGTTATGAGGTAACTCCTTTTACCATTTTTAAATAATGTATATGTATATACTTTGGTTATAGCATGCACAAGTCCCATGCAAGCTCAAACCAGACAAAATCCCAGTGTATACATGAGGAGGTGAATAAGAAACTCCAGCCCTACCTGAGGAACTATTGACAACCAATGGCTGCCGAGAAGGAGAGAGTTAGTCTCTTTCAAGGATGTGAGTCAGGTTAACCAGGCTCTAGTGTATGGACCCACACTGAAAGACATTTGGGGATATAAATTAGATGCAAGAGGATATATATATTGGGTAAGGGGCAGTAAAGGGAAGTGTAACTTGGGGGGAGGGGAATCTATCATCAAATTACAGTGTATGAAAATCACAAAAATTCAATTAAAAACACTGAAAATAAATAAAATAACCAAAACAAAACAAAACCTATATGTCTTACTCTGATATTATTCTTCTCAATATATTAATTTGCCCACTGGCATGCAATAGCGTAAAACTTCTTAGAATAAATTAAACTTGCATTAAAAAATAAAAGAATTACCTCAAAAAGAAAAAAGAAAGGCAGGCGCACTGCCTAAGGGGTAAGCCACAGTGACTCTTCCCAGTGTGCTGTGAACTTAAAAGAAAGGATTAAATACCTATCTGATTAAAATAAGTAGTTTTTTTTAAGTCTGAGTAATGTACTCAGAATATTCAGTCTTCATGTGCAGCAAATGTATGAGTTGGTCAGAGAATTAGTGACTAAATTAGTGACCAGAAACTAGCTATTGGGATTTGGTTCCACAAAAACGGTATCCTTTGTTTTAAAATAAATGTGAAGCTCTTTGGTGAAGGGGGGTGGTCATTACTGGATAGTTTAGTTGTCAACTTGACACACTGGGAAAAGGGAACCTCAGTTGAGGGATTTCCTCTATCAGACTAGATTGTGGATATGTTTCTGAAGCATTTTCTTTATTGTTGAGTAAAATAAGAGGGCCCAGCCTACTGTGGGTGGTGCTATTCCTGGGCAGGTAGTCTTGGGTTGTATAAGAAAGTAGGCTAAGTACAGGCCAGAGGAGCAAGCCAGCAGGGAGTGTTCCTCCATGGTCTCTGCCTCAGCTTTTTCCTCTGCTCAGTGTACCTCCATGTTCCTGCCCTGTGAGTTCCTGTCTTGGCTTTCCTCATTGAGGGACTCGGTGATCAGGACATATAAGTCAAATAAACCCTTTTCTCCCCAAGTAGGTTTTGGTTAACGTTTCATCACAGTATTAAAAAGCAAACTAGGACGGGGGAATGGAGGCTCATTTTATTCTCTAGGTTTCTGGGCTCAAGCAATCCTCCTGCCTCAGCCTCCCATGTAGTTAGAACTAAAGGCATGCAGGACACTTCCTCCCAATGAGGTAGGGGTTCTTGTGTTCTCTGTACATAACAGATTCTCTAGAGAATGGACATATGAAAAGGTGCTCACCTAGAACCAAACTATAAATTAGAAGATGGTCAAAGGCAGCTTTATCTGGTCCTTTGAAACGTATTTGTTTACTCTGCCAAATATCAATCTGTCCTTTCCTAACTCAATATAATTTGAAGATTCAAGGTCTGTCTAATTGAGGGGCCTATCTTGTACTCCCACAGCTTCACCTATAACTGGTTATTGAATACAGTGTCAAAAGCTGAGGCATGATATGTCCATAATCTTCATGTATGACTCATGTAGGGTTTGTTCATGCAGTGGAATGAGTGAGTGATAAAGGGAGAAACCATGGCACATCCATGTCTGAAGTGGGCACCAGTGGGCAGCCATGCCCAAACTCTCCTGTCTATTATGTATGTTGAGCTGGAAAAGCTCAGATTTGCAATTTGCCATCTAAAAGTGTGTGTTGGGTGCCTACCCAAGTATCAAGCATCTGAGTATTCAAGAATGAACAAGAAACCACTTCTACTGTTTAAGATTGTGGTATACAGAGGAGAAGAAGAAGAAAGGGGCACTTAAATATAATGTAGTAAAAGTCTCCAAGTATCCAAGCCAGAATGCTAGGGTTGGGGAATGAGATGGGTGGATGGAAGGTGATGTTAGAAAAGGATGCCCAGAGGAGATGATATCAAAACAAAGATCATGAAAAGCAGAGGGGAGGGAAGGGCAAGAACAGTTTGCAGAAAGTATTTAAAGCACAGGAAACCACATGGGGAAACACCTGATATAAGAGAAAGCTCAGAACACTGGAGGGGGTCCATGTGCCTCAGTTAAACTGGGACAGAGAGGTTGTGAGCTGAATGGAGGGGGAAGAACCCAGGGAGAGAATCTGGGACAAGTCCTAGGAAGTCTGCTGGGTTATATCTGTTACCGAGGGGAATGAGAAGTCAGTGGACATTTCCAACCAGAAACCAGATTTACATTCTTTTTAAATTTATTTATGTTTATTTTATGTGTATGAGTGTTTTGTCTGCATTGAATGTAAGTGCCCCCATTCAAGCAATGCCCTCAGAGGCTAAAAGAGGGCATCAGATCTCCTGGAACTGGCGTTATAGTTGTTAGCCTCCATGTGTGTGCTGGGCACTGAACCCGAGTCCTCTGCAAGAGCAGCCCATGCTCTTAACCACTGAGCCAAGCTCCCAGCCCCAGATTTACATTCTTAAAATATCTATAATGGGTCTGGGGCTGTAGATCTGGAATACAGAGCTTGCCTAGTATGCCTGATGCCCTGAATTTGACCCTCCATACTATATCTATATCAATATCTATATCATAGATATCTATATCTATAGCCACACCTATACTGATAGTAGCAATATGGACAATGGACAATGTTTTGATGAAGGAAACTGGAAAAAATGAAATTGAGCTGAGCAGAAAACATATACTACAAAGACCAAAGACCCAGATTCATGGCCTGTGGACACACAGACCTCTACCTGCTAAAACATGTTTGAAAGCGTCTATAAAATTAAAGCATTTGGAGTAGTTTAAAATAGCTCTGGGTCTAAAATCAGACAACAGGAAACAGAAAATATTGAAGAGCCACAGACCAACACCAAACCTACTTTCCAGGTTCCTCTGGAGCCTGTGTGGACATCTTTGATACCTCCCACGTTGGAATGGTCACCCAAGCCACCCTCTCTGTAAAACAACCTCTTCTCCTCTCTCCATCCTGGAAGTCACTCAAGTCCTCCTCTTCAAACTCATACAAAGCTAGGAAGTTTCCAGGAATTAAGCTCCTCCTCCCTCTTCAGCCTGAACCTGTCCACTGCTGGAGACAAACACAGCACCAAACCAATGGGTATGTTTACAGAAGTGAAACAGCATCCAGGTCCTCTTTAGCCTCAACTTTGTAAGCTCCTGGGAAGCGAAAGCCTTGGGCAGGCTTATAGAGCCCAGAGAAAAGG